ATTCAGCCAGACTGTAGAATACAACCTCTTTGGACAATTTATATACTTAGTGAAAACAAGCAACAAAATGTAATACCTTGGAAAATGCCGTTTAATACTTTTTAATAGCCTTAATTTTTGCTAAATTGATTTATCATCATTTATTTAAGACCCCGCGGACACCCTGATATAACAAACATAAAAAATTAATAGAACATTAATGAGGGTCAGCCCAAATCACACATTTATGCCAACGTCCTTCACGTCAAGGTGTGATAGTGCCTGTGTGTGTCAGCCAATAGAGATCTTACAGGCCTTAACAGCCACACCCCCACACACGCCTAGCTCAACGTCTGGGCACACTGGATTACTTAGGTTGGAAAGAAATCCAACCTGTTAATTTATGAAATATAGTGCTAATCAAGGGAATCTTGAATATGACAGCCACGCTTTAAATAGAGTGCCCAACCTTGTAACACAGCAACTTGTCTCAGAGTACAGCAAGAGATATGAATGGTGCATAGTTGAGAGCAAGCACCTGTTCATTGCCCCAGGCCTATTCAGAAACAGAATTTAAACCACACAAAAGTTTTAAAAAAGTAAAAAGTGCCTCCAGCACGGTAACTATTTTCTATAGGCTGCAAGTACAATTTGAACTTGCTTGTTACACAACAAGGATAAGATGAGCATATCCAGCAGCACGCAATCATATGCCAAGTAGTGACAGCGGAACCAATGACTAACCAAAGAATCCGAACACTTGGGTCACACTTATCTCACCTGAGGAATATATTGATGTTGCCGGTTGTATCTGACCAAGAGCTTTACAGAAGCCACATGAACATTTCCAATTGACTAGTCTGGTTGATAATAACAGACTTTGCAGATGACTGCTTCAACAGAGTCAGAGAGATTGAGATGGAACGGCTAAAATGCAACTCCTCTCTCAAAGGTATAGATGGAGCAAGGTTGTTACATTATCATTACAGCGCTAAAGGGACATAGACTTATGGTGGAAAGCTAAACATGGGGAACCTTAATATTTCATTGCAAGGGCTCCCTCGACCAAAAGCACTGGGATGTTTTTCATTGGATTTTGGAATATTGCAGAAAAGTAGTAGCCATAAGTAATGCTTGACGACGTTGGGAATTCTCATTTAGTTAATAATTTAGATATATCGTAGTTTTTTTTCACCGTAATTAAAGTATTAGATTTTATTGTGCAGTAAGAATTAGATGAAAAAATTGAAATGTCATGCCTAATTCAAAAAGTGATAAAAGCAGCGTGCCAGGCTATTTTCCAGACATCCGATTGGCTGTAGATTTGTAAAACTTGTTATAAGGTGTTTTATAAGAAGAGCTCTGATGACTTCAAGATGTGCAAAATTAGTGTGGCACTTATAAAGCTTGGGCTGCAGTGATTTGCAGTGTTTATGAAGACCACAGCCACTTTTCTAGCAGACAGACTTGATTTGAATGAATGACACAGCCTACAGTTTCTTTCTGAAGTATATGATACGAAGGTTAAAAGCAGAAAGAGGAAAAAGGTAGAAGAAGGCAACAGGTCTGATGGAGGTGGCTTTCAGCGCCACCCACCACTCTTCTCATCTCAATCAATGGCACCTCTGCTGACACTTTAGTCAGCAGATCCAGAGTAACGTCTGCCATGCTGGCGGAAGGCAGAACTAACGCTTGACAGTTTTAAACAACAGGTAATGGTGGTGTAGCTGAATAATGCAGACCCAGGGGATGGTGACCATTCATACTAGCCAGACAAAGGAGGGGGAAACCCCGCTAGGTGAACAGGAGGGTTGGAAAGTGGCTGCCCTTTCTCACCCCTGGCGCTGACACGCCCACTCAGCCATACGAATGAAAACCAACCTGGCACTTGCTGGTGGCTACGGGCACACGCATATGCCGACACGGGACCAGAGCACCATAAAAAAACTGTCACATATTAACATAGACAACAAACACAGACTGCTAATCTGTAGCTGTCAGTGACAGCTCAGTGTGCGGTGGGCTAGATGTGGCAAAGGGAGATGTCTTTGCTATCTGTCAGGCCAGCAATAATGGAAAGGCTTTACCAATTACCAACTCAGTAAGTCAAATCCATAGGGTATCCTGTTATAATAATATATTTGTAACACAAGTAATAATTGCCATCATGAATTCAATTTTTAAAGCAACTAAATACATCTTTTTAATTTTAATCTTGTCCTGCATCAACATCCAAAGTAAGAAGGAATCCATTTTTTTTTTATTATGAACCACATCTATCTGGTACCTGAAATTAATATGAACAGATACATTGCATCCATTGACTGCAAATCCAATTCAAAGAAATTAAGTTAATGTAACTGAACAAGTACAAGAGAATAGAAACAAGGCTGTAAGATACAGGTTCCTCAGATATCTTTCTGAATTTTTTTCTAAGAATCGGGGCTTTTTCAACTAAAGAAAAAAAAAGTACTTATCATTCCATCTGCGGGGTGGCCCCTAAAATCTTCCCAGTGTACTTAAGACCCTGAGCTGCGTCCAGAACTTCAAAGAAAGTAGGTCTACAAGAGACGTGTGCAACTTCTTACTGAATACATGTGTTTGTGAGCGTGTGTGTATTAGTGTAAACTGAGACAGAAAGAGCTTCTGGCAGCAGCAGTGGGGGAGGAGTCAGTCTCGGTGTCAGACTGCTTTATTGCCCAGAGAAATCTTCGGTCACTCCTCAGAGAAGATGAGCTACCTCGGAGGAAAACTTAGGACTGTCAATGACCCCCCCCCCCCCCACCACCACACTTAAATCATGCCCACATGGATAGGAAACTATATACATTTGCACACATCTTGTGTCCATATCTTTCTGTTTGGTGATCATGCCACAACCGTGTACGTGCATGCATGCGTGAGTCATGGCAAGATATCTGGATTAAGAGGTTGCTTTTTATTTGCACAGCATGAAAGAAAGGCCAAATGAATGGGCTGTGATTTTTAAGCAGAGGTCAATAATTTGTGCGGCCCTCGAAGGATGTTGAAAACATTGAAATGGCCCTTGAGAGGAAAAAGGTTCCCCACCCCTGGCCTAAAGGATACCAACAAAGCTATGTTCATGAGTAAAGTTGCTAAACAACCAAAGACTGGATGGACGATAAAGATACAAGCAGTATTATACTACTAGATTATAAGCATGATGAAAGTGACTTGTCAGCCCAATGTTTCCAGCCTTTGTAATAAGAAAACAATATTTAAGCCAAACAATGCACTTCATGTAAAATTGGAAACGTTTTTAGTTCTTAAGTAGAGTTGCAATTAGGGATAAGCTGATCAAAATATAAATCAACTACGACTAATTACTTCTTTATTATTCATCTTAATTCAGTTTAATTTGCCAACATTCAGTTTCTCCAATGTCTGAAATCAACTGTTTTCTCATCATTGTAAATACAATATACTGTGGTTTTGGACAGCGGTTGGACAAAACGTACATTTAAAGATTTGCCCACGAAATGGGTAAAAAGTTACCAACTTATTTACGCATTTATATACGATTAATCTAAAAAAAGTTGATTTATAGTTAGTTGCAGCCCTACTCTAAAGACACTATCCTGTAATTGGTCTGACAACTAGTCCAACTAATTTGTACTCTACTTTCTACTGAAAGACACATTAAATCGTCTTCCTCGTGTTAAATATAAAAATATCTCATGTGACTGCATGGCCAACTTTAAAAACAGTATCAGCAGGTTTCTCTCTTCAAAGTCACTATCCATATGACGTCCATGTAAAATCTGTGTAGGTCAAATTGATGTCCAAAGGTTGCATTGAAGTTTGAATTGGACAGTCTTGGAGATTATGCATATGTGATTCTCTTTTACTAATTATTATGAAAACTTAATATTACTATGAAAACCGACTCATCTGTCAACACAGCAACTATATAAAAAGTAATCAAATGTATGTGGGTTAAAAGGGTTTATAGAACAGTTCTTCCAAAAATGCACCTGTTACATGGCCAGGGGGGTGGCTTGCTTCTGGACAGTAATAGTTGATATGATAACTACAACAAATAATGACCACTGGAAAATGTCCCATAATGTATAGGGCCAGTGATGTTCAAGATGATATCAAATCTAACAAATGTATTCTGCATTTCCATATAGCACTCTTTTTGGGATATGTGTGCTAAAAACATTCTCCCCAGATATACGTTTCATCCAATGTGGGGTCGTCCAGTATATTTTTCTGGATACATTTGAATCCTGGCCATTCAAGCATTTTGTTGAATGAAAGAAGGGTTGAGCATTCAGTGGCAGACTGACCTAGTGGAGAGAGATTATCTTTCTGTCAGACAACCCAGGTTCAAGTGCCTGCTCAGTCTTTGCATTGCTGAAGAGGCAATGAGCACGAGTCAAATCCAACTCCAGGGATACAGATGCAGCTTTTCCTTTGTGATGGTGAGCAAAAAGCTAAATATTGTTTTCTAAAGAGCGATCACATGACTTTTTGATTTAATCATGAATGGCTAATAAAATGTAAAGGTACAATGAGACTAATAAAGACAGCATCAGACCAATAATGTGTCAAAAGGTAAAGAGAAAACCAACCTATGCAAATGAGCTGTCAACACTTTATTCAACTATTATCTCAGATGATATGATGGGTGAGCACGATTATGTGTTATTCAACCCTACAAGAGTGAAAAGTTGGGACACTACTACTGTTGAGGAATTCAGTGATGAAGAGGTAGTGAGTTTGCACTTTTAAAATTAATAGCATTTTCTGAATCTGCTGTTAATGTATTCAAACCAACCTGTTGGGACTTTAGTACTGTAGTTGCCATGTGACATTAGCACAGCACAACTGAAGAGGCGAATTGGTTGACTTTACTATGGCACTTTTCCTAAAGTGGATGCATCCTAACCAGAAAACATCAACGCGATAAAGGGTGCAGGTTTAATACATGTATATCTTGTTGCCGTAGCACACCCTCCTTGTCAGTCAGTTAAATGTCTAAAAGCATGTCTTACCTGGGCCATCTGATACTGGGAGAGGTGAATTAAGCTTGGGTCTCTTTGCAGTGGGGGGTCCGACGTCCAGCAGATTGTCAGCCATCCTGGTCGGGATATTTTGTGAATGGTTTATGTTGCAGAAAAATAACAACGGGACGAGTCCACGTTGTCCACTTCTGGCTTGTAAAAAATGTAACTTTTCCTATCGTTTCGCGTAAAGGAGCAATGCAACTGTTTTTTTTCTTGACTGGCAGACTGGCTAAATGCTGCCTGGAGAAAAGGGTTTCAAAAGAAAGGCAACAGCGCCACGCTTCGCCGCCGAAGATCACCCCATGATAATCCAACACCCAACACCCACATAATTATCCTCAATAATAACGTCCAAAAATTATTTCCGTTCGAGAAAAATAAATAAAAATCAATCATAAAATATTACACAAGGCGTAAGCAAATCCCTTTCTCCGCAGATCGCCGGTTTCACGTCTGTACAGAATCATCTTTTTCGCAGTCGAAACGAGCAGCCATAAAATCAATTTTGGGCTTAAATAAAAAGAGCAAAATTCAAAAAATATTTTCTATGAAGTGGATTATTTTTGTGGTCGCTGTCTCCCGGTAAATTCAGCGTCTCGGGACGGAGATACGGCGAGAAACGGCGCTCTCCAAAAGGGAAATCAAATATACAGTGGGCTTTCGAGACGGTAAAAACCCGTGTAATCCTCACATGTTTGCATTATTTCTCATCGGAAGGACTAACACTTCGATCTTCTGCACGAAAAAACCCGTTTGAGCCTCGTCTGAGTAGCTCCGATCGGTTTTTAAAATTAATGCTCCCCCCGAAATCCCGATTCTGAGCCGCGTCAAGATGGCGGCTGTTGATTCCTCCGATACAAAAAAAAACTTTTTTTCTTCCCAGCTAGACTGTGGGGGGAGGAGGGAGAGGTGTCGCGCTATGACGCCCTGACGTAAACCTGTATCCCACCGTACGTCATGTGGACGTACGCTAAACTGCCCCTAGGGGTGCAATAACCCAACAAATACACTATGTTGTTACTTTGCTTTAACTTTACAAACACACAGAGGTGGGATGTAACTAAGTACATGTACTCAAGTACTCTTCAATTTTGAGATAATTAAGTACTTTACTTGAGTGTTTCCATTTTATGCTACTTTGTACTTCTACTCCACTACAATTCACAGGTAAATTGTGTACTTTTAATCCACTACATGTATTTGGTATCTTTAGTTACTTTGTAGATTTGGATAAATAATGTGAAATATAATCAACACTTAAATAGGACCTTAGCAACACCTGGAGTAAATCCACAAGTATTTAAAACTAGCTGCACGTTTACCAGCTTTGATAAACACTTTAATAATGCATCAATAATAATAATCAAACATATAATAAATATGATTCTGAAATGGACCAATTTGCATAATAAGTAATTTTACTTCTAATTTGATGCTAATACTTTTGTACTTTAACTTGGGTTACCTTTGAATGCAGACATTTGACTTGTAACAGAGTATTCCTACACTCTGGTAAGTTGTACTCAAGTACAAGATCTGAGTACTTCTCCCCCCTCTGCAAACACACAGTAGTCAACACTCCAATATATAAAATACAGCTCGTATTATCAGTGGTGGAGGAAAGTAACAACATGGTGAGGAGAATGGTATACTTTTACTTCAAGTTTATCCGACAGCTATCTATATTTTACAATGTTCTTTCATGCAAAGCTTGTAAAATGTGAATCACGGCCACGCATTATACCTTGAAATAAACAAATGTGTTGACATTGTCTCCTTGTTGTACAAATGTATGATAATACACACCATTAAAATGTTGCGTACAAGAAAATATGTCATTGCTAAAACATCCAATAATGTAAGATTCTGTGAAGTGGCTGTTATGCATAATGAGCACCTTTACCTACTTAACATTTTACTAATGATACTTTTGTACTTAACTTTAGTATATTTTTGAATGCACATTTTGTTAAACCGTTCGTCTCCTTATGTAAACCATTTGATTAAGTCTTATTAAAGTATAACATTAAAGCATTATATTACAACCACTTTCTATTCAGATCTACCATATTCACATATATAAAACACTTCCACTTGAAGTCAATGTGTTTAATGTAAAAGCTAAATAGTACCTAACTAATATAAGCTAAATGTAAGCCTACCTACATAATTTAAAGTAATAGTATGTATAATGCAGCATAACTTACCCTTCTATTTTGCATATAAGATTTCCATTACTCATTCAGTTACTTGTAAGCAGAAATTAATATTGACACTAGTTTGAATTAGACTGAATTTTAAACTACTTTATTTTATGTTGGGTAATTTAATCTATGGCAATGTTAAATATTGTATAACAGCGCTTAATGTTTTGTTTGTGAAATCTCAATCTACAAAAGCAACAAGGCAATGCAAAGTATAGTGTAAAATACATACAGTATAACACAGCATCAAATACTAAAGTAAAGTACAAAATACAGAATCAGAAGTAGCGACAGGGTACACTGTAAATTCAACCAGACAAAATGTACCATCATTTTATTTTATTCAATTGTGACCTTCACTTGCATTTACCCATTAACGTGCTATGTACACAAACATTTCTAAATAAAGCAACAATGCCTTAAAACTTGGCTGTAGCAGGCTTCTGAAATACTGCCTAAGTGCAGACATCTAGCAGTGTCTCGCCCATTTTATTAGCCCACTTTTTATTTTTAGAAAAAGAAATAAAGGACGAAGCCTTATTGTCTTGCATGTCATACTTTTTGAGATGATACAAATGGAGCATTGCTTACAAAAACACACAACCACACAGTTTTACAAACACACTTTTTTACAGACATGCAGGCAAACTGAACTAACAAGTGTTATTCCAACATAGTCAAATTACACAGTTCTTTAGACTATTTAATACTCTAGTACATGCGTCTATATAAATAATAGAAAATGCTCAGAAACTATACAATATAAAGCCATACTATACATAAAAAGTGAGCTCCTTTCCAAATGTCCGTTAACAGTGAATATATAAATGTTATTGAACAAGCACAAGATAACCTGCAAATTAAGGAGAAAATAAGATACAAAAAAGCTCTAAGTGATGGCAATAACACTCTTTGGCATCAACATTTTCACAGTGTGCCATTCTGCTGGGTCAGAATGTCACTTACATCTCGATAAATCAACCCAAAGTAATTTAGAATCATGTTGGTAGAAAAAGAAAAGGGCAGAAAATAGAAAACACAGCTATGTAATTATTCTTGTTTATCCCAAATACAATACTTATAGAAAAAAATGTTATCAAAATAACCAAGGAAGGAAAAAAAGAAATGTTTACTTGACACTGAAGTATCTTGATCTAGATTAAACACTTAAATAATAACAAATATTATTCTAAAACTACCTTTATTTTAGGCTGGTAAAAGGGTTGTGTGCCCATAAGTGTAAAGGAAGGCATTTCCCCTTTCAAACTTAAGAAAAGGCACTGCTTTTTTTACCTTAGAAAACATCTTTTAAATTAAAGGTATTTATAGCACAAAAGTTAACATTATCCTGCAAAGCTTAAGATACATATTTAGTGTAAACGAAAGCAACACAGAGCAGACAGTGAAAAAAAGTAGAAAGTTAAAAGGCACGAACAAAACAGCCAATTATTAACTTATTAGGCATTTGTTAAAATAACTTTGATGATAAAAGAAGGAAAATGTGTCCCTTATGTTGTATGCATTATTACTTTAAAATACTGATTGGTTTAAGTGATGTTAAAGATATTGAAATATCAAAAGACACTGAAGTGGATGTCATGGTAAAACGCGTTTGCCTCTGAGCACACAATCCTTTTTGTTAAGAAAACAATAAAAGAGAGAACATGTAACAGCAACCGAGATGTACAGTTTAATCAGTTTGATTTCCTTCATCATCTGACATAATAGAAGTCTATAAGGAATAAAAACACATACAACAAAATACATTTGTTGCACTGCCTTTGCAGTTACAGTGCCGTTTTTACATTAAGTTGCATGCCATTAAAAGTATGAAGCAGCTAATGCATCCAACTGTTTCCATCAAATAGTATATTTCAAATAATACAATTAAAGACCGTAGCTTCACATAGAAAGTTCAAGTTTTGTGTAACAATAAATATAATAGAGCACATTTAGTTTAGATTAGTGACATTCCACTTTGATTATCCATGTCTAAAAAGCCATATCACCTAAACACACAGTGTAATCCATAGCAAAACCTAGGCAGTTGTTTTCTGTAATTGATCTACGGTCAAAGTAATCTACAGGTACAGCAGTGCCTTGTAGGATCCATCTAAATACTCATCAACATCTAACACAGTTTGGGTACCCATAAGAGTCCAAATCATGGGGGAGGGCACAGAACTACAGATCTAACCTCGTCTACGATGCTGCTATCGTTGCAAGCATGCTGATTAAATGTGGCTGGGACAGGACACAGTATTGAGGTAAGACAACGATCTTAACAGGGGCCAGAGAAAAAGCTGACATAAGATTTTGTTTTGCCCCCGACTGCGTTCCTGAAATGTCTGTCCTCATCCTGCAAGTCTTTGATTAACTCATAGGCAACTCGCTTTATTAAACTGAGCATGATATTCTTCCTACACAGAGCCATAAAAACAAACACACAAACACACTCACGGTTTGCATGCAAATACGACGCACAGCTCAGCCTTGTTTGCCCTTAGCCTGTATTGATTCATTTCTGCTGTGCTTCTCATGAAGAGTTTTCTGGTACTCATGAAGAACAAGGAAATAGACTCTGTTGCATTGTAGTTCAGATTTTACTATAACATATATTCCCTTTAATTGACACACATTGTGATTATCTTCATGTTGTAGCACTTTCCATATGTATAGTAAGCTCTTCTTTAATAAAAGGCATAATAGCAAAGCATAGTTTACAAAGTTGTAACAAAATGTAAGCTGGTTTTCCCAAAAAGTTTGCTTATTTACAGTTTTCCCTTTTTATGATATCCTTCTGTTACTCAAAAAGGCTTAGTCTACACATAATTCTAGGCACTTAAAAGACACAAAATAAATGAAGATTAAAGGTATACAGATAATCAAGTAATGGGAGACAAATGAGATCTATAGCAGGCAAGAAAAGGTCTGTGTGTGCCTGACGCTTTGAGGTCCAGCCAGCACCCTCCACTGATAATATCAGCCAATCAGATTTACACTAAAAACAACCTGCTGTCTGCTTTCTGCAGAGAAGAGGCCTGCAGGTCTTTCTCTGATTCTAGGACCAAATATATTGTAATTCTACAAATGCCAAATGGCAGGAACAAGAGCTTAAAGGGTAGACAGTTTACGATAAAAGCGCCATAATATGACATTCTTAGAGTCGTGTTAATTCTCCAACATTACTGTCAGGCGCTTCATCGCATTTGTCCTTCTTTATGTATTTTTGGGACGTTATGGGCGTATTTTGCTGGGCCGATGATGAGATGAGAAGCTGTTGGTTATTTGCAGAAGAAGTTGGTCCGTCTAGGTGAGATGAAGGTCTTCTGGCATTAGAGGTTTCTGTAGAGGAACGCCTGACGGCCTCTTTCCCGAGGCTTAGCCCTTTGATGGTTGAGGAACCAGCACTGTGTACCGTAGTATGTGTGCTGCTCGCAGTTAGGCTGGTTGCTGGAACCATGCTGGCGATTTCCTCAGTGGGTGAGCGTCCGATGCTACCATCCACCTGTGCCCGAATCTCTGGTGACACTGAGAGCTGGTACTGAGGCACAGGGCCACTATCACTGCTCTTCGGGTAAAGGAAGGTCTTCATCTGACCTTTTCCTTTGACGTTAACTGTGCCCCGATAATCAAACTCATAATCCATAGCACTAAGCACACAATAGCTCTCCTCACTCACCTGCACACGGCACTCCACCCCTGTTGTATCCATGCGACTGGCGATGTTAACCGTGTCGCCCCAGATATCGTAGAGAAGCTTAGTAGTGCCAATCACTCCCGCTGTCAGAGGCCCGTGATTGAATCCAATGCGAAGCTTGAAGCCAAAACCCAGCATGTTCTTGTTGAAGTCGTCCACCACACGCATCATTTCCAGGGCGAATTCGAAAAGAGCGCGGAGATGTGCGTGAGGATGTGGCGCGTCAGCACACTGCTGCGCATTGAGTCCTGCTGCTGCCATGTACGTGGCACCGATAGTCTTGATCTTTTCCATATTCGAGAACGTAGGCTTTCGTAGCAGCTCGTCAAAGTCTCCAATTAGCTCGTTGAGGACACGATAGCACTCCTTGCCTCCCTCGTAGCTTTCCTCGTAAAACTCACTGAAGTTAACAATACTGGCAAATATGACACCCACATTGTCGTGGTTCTTGGAGTAGCTCTGGGTGACCTTCAGCTGCTCGGCCACATGGATGGGGATGATGTTGCGTAGCAGCCAGTCGGCCTGGTCTCTCATGTTCTGGATCTTGATGCGGTGTTGATCAGCCTCAACGTTGCCATGGTAATGCAGGCGGTGGCTAACTTCAAATTCACGGTTAAGGAACAAGATAAGGAGAAGGACCAGGAAAAAGGCAACGCAGGCCTCAGGGCCCAGCAGGTCCTTTGGGGTTGGGTCTGGAGGACTTTCAGACATGAAGATGGAGCTGTTACTGAAGCTGGTATTGCTTTTAACATCCGACCTGGTGGAGAGACAGAGTGAGATAGAGAGTGAGAGAGAGAAACACAGAGGGAAATGCAGAGAAATTAAAATCCTGAGGTTAAAACAAATCTTTGTCTTATTTACAGCATCTATTTCAAGTCTTACTACAAAGGCTTTTGGCATACGTTTCTTGCACCCTTCTACATTTTTAACACTTAATCATGCACACACAAGCCTGATTTTCAGCAAGTGTCTACAGAAAACAATAAAACTGACTATGACATCAACAATGCTAACAATAATAAGTACCACAAAAACAGACTCTTAGCAATGCTTGAAGGGATAAAACAAACAAAAAGCTCTAATTAATGCTTTAAAATAAAGTCCATGTAGAAATCCAGCAACCTATCTTTTCTTGAAATACAATGGGTAACCCAGTGTCATTATGTCTCTGATATTGAGCTCTATTCATTATGTCATACCTGCAGGGGGAGCTGAAGATCAAGGCAAGCATTGCTAGTCCCACCAAAGTTGCTAGAACTGAGCGCATCCAATAGCTGAGTTGGCAGAAGTTACAGTACTGAATGATAGCTATGATGACAGCACAGCAGATGAACATGGTGAACTGGGGAAAATATGAAGCGCAGAGTCATTAGTCAAAAGGTCCCATAAGATTAGAAAATACAATTTGCTGACTGTAGCCTATATTAACATATTGTACCATTAAAAGACATATGCTGATAATAATTAAGCCGGATGGACATTTTTATGGCAGCCCTACAGGGAGCTTCTTTATTGGTCAGAAGCAAAACTCAACTATAAGATTTGAGAGGAGGAGAATACATCTGATATGATGACAGCAATCAAATGAATGTAGTTTTGAAAAGGTAAACAAAGAGAAAATATAAAACTTGAAAATCCACCTGAATTGAGAGATGCATGTCACAGGTAACATGGGAAAAGACTGCCACAGTGGGCAGGGACACCAGGACGGCTCCTATAAAGTGACGCGCTATCCATCCTGAAACCACTCTCATCAGCATCCGAGTGCAGTGCAGCACACTGTCCAGGTAGAAAGCCATACTGAAGAAGAAAAACAATAACTCATTTTACCATAATAAAGCAGAAAACAGATGCCCGACAAAAATATGGCCATGTGATTTACATGGAAACTAATCCTAAAGAAAATCTGTGTCATCTGGCCCATCCCTCCACTTTCTCCAGAAAAACTTGCAAAAAACTCCAAAGAAAGCAAACCATTTTTACCACTTTATAAATTACTATTCGTTCTAAAACATATTTAAAATACCACATTTCAAATGAACTACTACAAAAACAAAATAGTCAAAACTGTGCTGTCACATTAGTCACATCAGATTTTCACTACACAATTAACTAGGCAATAATAATTTATGATATCAGCACAATTTCTATATGACATTTCTTTGCAAAACACAATCCTTGTTTATCCTGCATTTTGACTCTTTTTTGGCAAATTAATTACAATCTGGATACATTTAGTACATCTATCCTTTGTATCAGGAGTCTAAGGAATAACAGTTTGTCAGCCTCCTGTGAGTAATGGACAATTTCCTGTCACATTTGCTGCATTAAGGTGCAGTTCTTCATGGTTTTAGTGTTAATGTTGCATGTTGCACAATTAGGAGCAAACTCTCCAATGTGGAATAAAGAGCCAATTGCTATTTTGGGATTATGCCTTTAAGGGAAGAAAATGCTAACACATTAAAACAGGAAAACATATTTGCCGGGTTATATTTAACTATTAATTTTAAATATGTGGTGGGGGATTGTGACATTGACCAGCAGACTGTATTTAGCAATGGGACCACACTTTAAAACCCACAGTCTATATTCAGTATCTCACCGTATAGCAAACAGAAGGGCCACAGCCTCCAGCAGGTTGGCTCCAGCTGTCAGAATGAGTGCTGGTGTGGACACGCTCTGCTGGGTGACAAGCGGTCGGAGGAAACAGGCCAGTGAGAGAGCCAGAAACACTAAACAGCAGAGCAGCATGTCCAGAAAAGAGCTGAATGTTGGACTGGCAAAAGTCTGCACCGGTGCCTGGGTTTCCACCTGAGGGTAGAAAGAGAGGGAGGATAAAACAAATCTAAAACATATGCGAAAATAGCAAGAAACACGTAAGAATAGGGATTAAGTTGCAAAATTAGAGTAATGCATTACTGAAAAGTAGTCTAACCAAGGATCTGCAGCATAAATGCATGATCAATAATTCATGATGCCTTGGAATTTCATTATCCAACAATCAAAAATAATTTAATGACTTAAGTAAGCCACTACTTAAATCTATTTCCATGTCAATGACCCAGATTCTAGAGACTAGACGCTGTAGCAACAGTTGCAGACATGACAGCAGGGATGCACTTCTGAGGTTACACCAGCAGAGGACATCACAAACTAATACAAAACTACTTTTAAGGTCCTGCAGTGATTTCTATTTGCCGCAGTCTTGACCAGTCTGGCCGTAACACAGTGCTAATAGGCTTCCCAGACAACAGATAAACTCCAGAGGAACACAGGTAACGCACCCAGGTAGAGACAGCAAGTAAAATATGCTGACTCATTAAACATGCATACATGCAGGCACTGTTATGTCATGCACAAAAACAGCTCACACACCTCTTCCTGGTAGCTTATCCGGTAGGCAGACTCCAGGCTGCTCTCAAGGAAAGTGAGGCTGAGCTTGTTTATTGGGGGTCTATAGAAATAGTCCTTCATAAGGCTGTCAAAAAAAAAAGGTAAGTCAGAATTAAAACTGCCCAAAGCTTAAAATTGGCGCGAAAATGAACATCAATAGCTGAGATTGACATTCTGATCAACTCTACATCATGTTTAATGTTTTTAATGTATTCATCATTAGATCATTCTTACCTGTCCTCTTTAATAACGTCCACAAAGTGAGCATCGCTCCTCTCTCTGAAGTTCTTTGAGCGTAGGGGGATGAGCGCTGAGTGGTCCATGCCCATGGTTCCTCCACTCCACGTCTTCTTCTCCTTCTCCTGCAGCATCTCACACAGCGACGTCTGGCTGTTGGTCAAGGCCTCCAGCTGAGGACTGAGCAGGCCGTTCAGAACTTTGGGGCTGCGTCCTGCAGAAACCGCTGGGGAGCACTTCAGATTTGTAATGTCCTAAAATGAGAAGAGGGGGGGAGGCAACATCTGACTTTACAAAATAGCAGAAGCTGTGATAATGATGATGATCTTTTATTTGGAAAAAGAGCAGCAATTAAACAAAGTAGTCTAAATATAAATTATAAAGCTAAAGAGTGTGTTGTAGTGACACCAATTCAAATGTGTCTTTGGCACACTTTATCTGGGAAGTCCTATTTCTTTTTAAAGATTTTCTATTAATCTTTTTTGCTGCTGGGTATGAGGAAATGTAACCAGGCTGGTTCATGTACTACATATAATGAAATATAACAGATTGGACATCAAAAAAGCATACATATAAAATCTATCCAAGGCTAACCTTGGTGTTGATCTTGTGGTCGTCATGGCAGCCATTGTGCACTGCTCCTTCCTCGAGAACCGGATCTTCCACTGGTATCAGAACCACACTGCATGATATACAAGGGGACTGCAGGGGTGTAGAGGTTGGAGGGGGGCATTATGGAGGGAGATGCAGCATATGGAGGCAAGAAGGAAGAAAGATTAATACATTGAAAAATTAATATTAAGGGAAGCATGTGGGTATAAATAAGGGCAAAAAGATGGCAAAGATCACGAGAGAAACAGTAAAGGAGAGGGAGTGTAAACAAGAGGGAAAGAAGGCAAACACACTAGAACAAGGTTTGTATCTTTATCCCATCATCCTCTTCGAACTGAATGGAAAGTGTGTGTGTGTGCGTGCGCGTGTGTGTGTGTGTGTGTGTGTGTGTGTGTGTGTGTGTGTGTGTGTGTGTGTGTGTGTGTGTGTGTGTGTGTGTGTGTGTGTGTGTGTGTGTGTGTGTGTGTGGGTGTGGGTGTGGGTGTGTGGCCTAGCATTACTATACTTGTGGGGACCTAAATCTGCTTACACAGTCACGTGTGGGGACTCACCTCCCTTATGGGGACAAAATGGAGGTCCCCATGAGGGGAATCATTAATTTTAGGGTGAAGACTTGGTTAGGTTTAGGGTTAGGGTAAGGGTAAGGTTAAGGGTAAGGGTTAGGGTTAGGGTTAGGCATGTGTTGGTTATGGTTAAGGTTAGGATAAGTCTCCAGGAAATGCATGTAAGTCAATGTAATGTGTGTAAGTGTGTAAGAGTATGAGCTTTGTGTGAAAGTTCTGCTGTGCTATGAATGACCATGACACTGACATGTGCAGTGCCAAGCCAAAACACACACACACTACATAATGTAGACACACAAAGAAAGCACACTGTGCACCTACATGCAACATTAAACGAGCAGACATTTATCACCACACCTGGCTCATTTCTACTTTCAAACGTTGAAATGTCAGCAGAATTGTCTTAAGATGTGTGCCATTGTAGCCCTTCAGCGTTTGCCATTTCGGTATTTGTGCAAGAGCCACACTAGATGATGAAAACCTTTAAGTGAATGAGTCATTCGTTGAAGAAGAAAGAAGGGAGAAGGACATCCCACCTCCCCTGCTTGAGCGTATTACCCCTGCTGATTTTCCTGCCTACCATCATCCTCTTCCTACTCGTCCCTCACACCTATACATCCCCCCTATACCTGGCCTGCAAAGATCTAAACGATCCATGCTGGTTTAATAGGGTGCATGTGTACAGAAAATGGAGGGTAATTTGGAAGGCACATGCAGGGTTTGAGGGTAATTATAAGGGAATATTGTGCTACAACGTTTAGGTGTCGGTGACCTAGTGGTACAATTTGAAGGCAAATGAGAAATCCAAGGAGGACACAGTGGCTGGAAATGTTCTGGATTGATGAGCAGAGCATCATACTGGGTCAGTCTTTATGCAGACTACCTGCAGGGCAGCACAGTACTTTGAATTTCATAATTAATAAGATCTTACTCATTTGTTCTCATATTCGTATTAATAAGGATTTAATGAGGACTGAGGTGCTACCATGCCATGTAATTACATTAAACAATTCAGTTGCATTATTTTCACATGGTTTAAAGACGCTTACTTTTTCATTTCATCCACTCAATACAAAAGGAAGTTACTTGCATGCAAAGATGAAAACACTGATACACCCACAGGAACAAACGTACAGAGAGAGCGAAAATCAAAAAGGTTAGAGCAGAACATACAGCTCAGTGTTCTTCCTCAGGCTATATTGATGTGCAATGGAAAAGGATCCCAGAAACGTATTCTCGACAACATGGTGTTTCATTTTCTCAGAGATACTGTGCGCTCACCTTAGCGCTATCTGGTGGCAAGGGGCCGGCTGGAGGGTCTCCATCAGGTGTTTGTACCCCGGGGTTGGGGCACTGAGGGTCTGCATGCTCAGGCCCCACTAAACCCGACTGAGAACAGCCACAGAGAGAGTGAGGCTCCACCTTCCTGGCAGAGATCAGGTAGGTCTTCAGGCCTGACAAGACAGAGACAGAGAGAAAGAGAAGGATGTTACTCAAAGGGTCTGAATATCTCTAAGGTTGTGGTGACTGATGTTGCTCTCTCTGACCATTCCTGTGTTTTCTTTGAAAGCTCTATTTCTGTTCACAAAAATGTTCAAAAAGAGATAACCACAAAGCGATATTTAACTGAAAATATGAGGGAAATGTTTACTCAGAATTTTTCTTCCACACTTGCCCCTGCTAACATCTCAGTAAATGAGCTAGTAGATCATTTTAATTAAAAAATTAAAAAATGTATAGATGCCATTGCTCCAACTAAGGTAAAGGAAGTGTCTGGCAAGAAAATATCTTCATGGAGAAAGGCCATGAGCGTGAAAACAGAAAAAAGAGAATGTCGAAAAGCTGAACGCAGGTGGTGAAAAACAAATCTCCAGGTTCACTTTGAAATCTATAAAGAGAGACTTGGCCTTTATAATTTGGAATTGAAAAACGCACGACACTCTTTCTTCTCCGACATCATTACCAAAAACAAAAACAACGCACGTGCCTTGTTTGCTACCGTCGACAGACTAACTAACCCCCCAGTGTCAGTAGCCTCTGAATTTCTATCCACCAACCAAGTGCAATGATTTTGCCTCCTTTTTCACTGACAAAATTCAGAAAATCAGACAAGCAGTCAGTGCCTCTGCATCAGGAACAGCAAATGTGTTGTCTCTGTGTCCACTTAACATCAATTCAAACACCATGACATAATTCCATCAGATTAATGATAAAAACCTAGAGGACATTATTCAACTGAAATCTTCCTCCTGCTGCCTTGATATTATTCCAACAGGATTTTTCAAAGATGTTTTGCCTTGCATGGCCTCAGATCTACTTCATATAGTAAACAAATCTCTTCACTCAGGTATTTTTCCACAGGCCCTGAAAACTGCAGTCATTAAACCGCTCTTAAAAAATAATAATCTAGATGCTTCAGTAATGAACAATTACAGGCCCATATCAAACCTCCCATTTCTAGGTAAAATCATTGAAAAAGTTGTTTTTCAACAGTTGAGTAATTTCTTGCATTTAAGTGGCTGTTTCGATGTGTTCCAGTCAGGCTTTCGTCCAAACCACAGCACTGAGACTGCTCTTGTAAATGTCTTTAATGACATCCACTTAAACACAGACAGTGGCAGAACTTCAGTGTTAGTATTATTAGATCTCAGTGCTGCGTTTGACACTGTTGACCACAGCATATTACTAGACCGACTGGAAAACTGGGTGGGACTTTCGTAAACAGTTCTAAATTGGTTTGAATCCTACTTAAAGGACAGAAACAACTTTGTTTCTATAGGTAAATACACATCTGAGTTGACAAATATGACATGTGGGGTACCTCAAGGCTCCATCTTGGGGCCTCTTCTCTTTAACGTCTACATGCTACCACTGGCTCAGATAATGAAGAACAACAAAATAAGTTACCATAGCTATGCAGATGACACACACATTTACGTAACAATTTCACCAGGAGACTATGCTCCAATTCAAACACTGAGTAAGTGCATTGAACAAATCAATGACTGGATGTGTCAGAACTTTCTCCAATTAAACAAAGATAAAACTGAGTTAATGGTTTTTGGAGCCAAGTCACAACGTATAAAAGTTAGCGCTGAGCTTCAGTCTGCAATGTTCAAAACAACAGATAAAGCCAGAAATCTAGGTGTAGTCATGGACTCTGACCTGAGTTTCAACAGTCACATTAAAACAGTTACTAAATCAGCCTACTATCACCTGAAGCAGTGTTTCTCTAACTTTTTCATACCAAGGACCACTTAACCAATAAAAAAACACTCCCGGACCACCTAACTCCAAAAATATCCAAAGACACATCGTTTTTCTAGAACAGATTACAAATCGCATGCAAATGGTACCAACAAGTGGCAACATGTGTGATGAAGGTGTTGCGCTGGGCTATATCATGCAATCGAAAGTGAAAAATGAAATGAAACTTAAGCTCGCTCCATTGCGGAGATATTCCCGTGAGAGTGTGAAAAACTTTAATTAATTCATTTCAAATGTGAAATTTGACCAATATACTCACGGACCACTAGGGGGCGCTCACGGACCACCAGTGGTCCGCGGACCACACTTTGAGAAGCACTGATGGATTAAAATACTAATGTCACAGCAGGATTTGGAAAAACTTGTCCATGCTTTTATCTTCAGTAGACTCGACTACTGCAATGGTGTCTTCACAGGTCTCACTAAAAAATCTATTAGGAAGCTGCAGCTGATTCAGAACGCCGCTGCTCGAGTCCTCACTAACACTAAGAAAGTGGATCACATCACTCCTGTTCCGAAGTCTTTACACTGGCTTCCTGTGTGTCAAAGAATAGATTTCAAAATACTGCTGCTGGTTTATAAAGCACTGAATGGTTTAGGCCCAACATACATGTTTGACCTCCTGCTAAATTATGAACCATCCAGATCTCTCAGGTCTTCAGGGACAGGTCAGCTTTCTGTCCCCAGAGTCAGAACTAAACATGGTAAAGCAGCGTTCAGTTATTATGCTCCAAATATCTGGAACAAACTCCCAGAAACCTGCAGGTCCGCTGCAACTCTGACTACTTTTAAATCCAGGCTGAAGACTTTTCTTTTTGTCGCTGCTTTTAATTGAACTATTCATATCTTGGACTGCACTGTGACTTTTATCCATGTATTTTTTCTTTTAATGTTTATTTTATTAGCTTTTCTTTTTAATGATGCCATTTTCTTAATGTCTTTCATTTTTTGTAAAGCACTTTGAATTGCCTTGTGTTGAAAAGTGCTATATAAATAAACTTGCCTTGCCTTGCCTTACTTGCATTTGTTCTTACTCTCAGATCAAACTGGCCTGTTTTTGGATCATCCCATGGTGTTGTTTTAGGATTCCACAGATTCAGTATAGGATGAATTCCCTCAGTGAATACCATTAGCCAGTATTCACATAAAAGTAGAATAAAGAGATGGAGAAGCAGAAAATATCTACGAGTTAAAAAAGCCAAGGACCCATACATGACTCATATTTGCTTCCAGAAGCATATCAAAAATGTGTGATGCATTTGTGAAGGGTTTCAAATGTTTTTCTCTCTCCAGAATTAGACAGATGAGCAAGAGAAGAAGTGGGAGTGCTTAAACGAAACTGAAAATCCCTTGTCAGCCAAAGTTGTGCATCCTGGGTATTTATCCAAAAGACTTTGTCTCTAGGAAGAGTGAGCGTGTACTCAGGGGCGCCGCCAGGGATTTTGGGCTCCATGAAAAGATATCACATTGGGCCCCACCACCAGCCACAGGCCATGCCAACCAAGCACAATTACTGTAACCACACCTCCAGAACCCAACCAACCCGTTTATGCTTTAAATAACTCTACCTGTACAGGCTTGCATCTATCTTGTAGTCCAATATTAACTGCACAATATTTACTGACACTGAGCGGTGAACATATAACACTGTGCAGACTGCAACATTCTGCTGCAGTAGAATTCACTATTTGATATAACACTAACATTCCTGACAATAGATCTCAATAGTCATCTTTTATGGTGTACATGCCTTTTTAATGACATTTTTGAATGGAACATTCATAAATCAAAATAAATATAACTTAAATATACATGACCTCTTAAATTAAAATAAAGTTAACATTAACACCAATATTATCATTTATAAAATAGTTATTACGAGCCCTTGCTCAGCCTTACTCACCAAGAGCCCAGCGCCTAGCCTTCTTACAGGCAAAGTCACTGATCAAGTCCTTGAAGTCCAGCTTTCTAGCCAACTGGCTTTCAATGGACAGCATGGCAAGACTGCAAAGCTTTATGGGGGGACAGGGCTGGGACAGGGACAGGGCTGCTAAGCCTAAATATGGATCTGTTGGTCCTGGCAAATGTACCTGCATTTATTAAATGTCGGCTAAAAGAGGAGTGAAATGAAAAACCTCTGCATTTTCTGTGAATATATTAACAGTAGGCTACTTAATGTCTGCAAAACATTACAATTATTATTTACAATGGGCTAAGCTTAGCTAACAGACTAATTTCCACCACTCATGGACCACACCTACCTTTTCTTTTGAAAAACTGGGTGACATACTGTCGCCCTTTAGTCCCTCTCTCTCTTGTCTTTCTCTCCTTTCTTTTCTTTTTTGAAAGCCTGACTTTGTTAGTCGTTGAGACATCATACACACGTAAGTACTAGCACCCCTCCTCACATGCTCTCACTCTCTGCCAGAAAGTGCGGTGCCGCCGGGTGCCGCACAGCGTTTGGAGGCAGGACCAAACCATTACATGTAAATAGAGGGGGGTGTACAGAGGCTTTGGATAATTCACTTTTGGAAGAAAAAAAGTGAAATGAATTGTAAGTTTAGTGAGTACATTATTAATTTAACGTTATATTAATGTTAATTGTTGATGATTGATGAAAGGTGACTTAAACTTTTTTTCTTAATGTTCTAAAAATGTTTGGGGCCCCTGTCAGTCACGGGCCCTTAGAATCGTCCTAACTTTTCATCCCCTTACAAGGGCAATAGCTATAGAATGGAAAAATGTGAACAAACCAAGTATGAATAAATATATTAAGGATCTGTCAGCAGGTGTTGCTTTAGAAAAACTAATATACATTACTAAAGGAAAGCTGGCAGTTTTTGAAAATATCTGGGGGAGCTTCATGGAGTTTTTGAAAAAGAATGTTGGTAATGATCAATAAAACCAAAGACCGGGGCGGGGAGGGGGGCAACGGGAATAAGATTATAAAGTGTAGAAACCCCAGTCGTATTCTTTCGGATTTCTGTACTTTGTTATCCATGTATCATCTGTATACTGAGCTGTGTTTATTTACATGCCTATTCATTTGATTGCACACTGTATCTGCCACCTAGACTGACCGTTTTATGTATGTGTAATGTTCATTATATTTGAAAACTTCAATACAAATATTGTTAAAAAAGAAAAAAGAACTAGGAGTGCTTAAGAGACAATCACCACGACACCA